CCTCCCCACCAGTGCTAGTGCTCACACTGAGGGTGTGGACACTGTCTCTTAGCTTTCTCACTCCAGGCTGGTGCTCTTGAGCCACAGCCCCATGTCCGGCTTTTCACTGGGTAACTGGAGATAATCTCACAGACTTTCTTGCTTGGACAGAGATCCTCCGATCTCAGCCTCCTGAGTTGCTGGGATTACTGGTGTGAGGCACCAGGCTGCTGGTGGGTTTTTCCTTCCCACTGAGTGACAGAGTTGCAGTCCCGAGGTGCTAGTTTCTACTTTCTGAGGAAAGTCGCACACCGGTGGACACAGTCAGCCTGGCCCCTGGCCACGAGCCCCGGGCGGCTCCCAGGACAGAACCCACACGCACCTTCTGGTCGAAGCTGTCCGGAGTCAGGTAGAAGTTGTGCAGGGGGACAAAGTAATCTTCCAGCAGCCCCATGAGCAGGACCAGGTAGACGCCATCTGCGAACTGCAGAGCACACTCGGTGACGCGTGTGCACACAGGGGGTCAGGCAGGGCGGCGGCCGGTCGCGCCGCCACCTGAGACCCTTTCTGCCGCCTGGGTCTGTGCAGGGGGGCCCACAGCACCCCTCCTCTTGGGCTGCCTGTTTTTGTCAAGCCAATGCATTCTGTTCTGTTGAGATGTACACAGTGTACTCTGGGCATCCGCCCTGGACGTCCACGCCTTTTTATTTTGTGCCAGTCCTGGGAATTGAACCAGGGGCCAGAGCTCCTCGCTGGCTTTTTCACACGAGGCTGGCACTCTTGCATTACACCTCCACTTCCTGCTTTTTGCTGGTTAATTAAATGTAAGAGTCTCCAGGATTCGTTTGCCGGGGCTGGCGTTGAACCTCAATCCTCAGATCTCAGTCTCCTGAATAGCTAGGATCACAGACAGCCATCAGTGCCTGGTTCTGAATTTGAATTTTTTTAAACAATTAAGTACAAAATTCAGTTCTTTGGTGCACCAGCGACACGCAGCCGGTGACCACTGCCTTGTCAGATGGGTCAGAGAGTCTCCATCACTACAAGAGATCCGCCGGCCAGCAGCCGTCTAGAAGATTCTCAAACAAGACACCTGGAGGGGGAGGAGGGGCCAGGACACCCCAGGGGCCCAGGCTTCCGCAGGCAGCAGGTTGAAATGGGTGAATGAGAGCCTGAGGAAAGGAAATGGGTTCTCAAACCTCCGCTCAGCCCAGCCCGCGGCCGCCGAGGCAGCCCGTCTCCGAGTGTCTCCATGCAAGAGTAGAAGCCACAAACAGCCCAGGACCTCAGGAGACGTTGCTAAGAGACACGAAGCGAAAAGCAGGCTGAGCTCAGGCCTGTGATCCTCGCTGCGTGGGAGGCTGAGAAAGAAGGGTCAGGGCGGGAGGCCACCAGGGCAGCAAAGTCCCACCTGTCACCTCCCAACAACCACAAGGAAGCCCAAAGTAGGCAGGTCACGGCCCAAGCCTGGGCCTGGGTGAAGTTGAGGTCCTGCCTTAAACAAAACCATGCAGGGGGGCACAGAGGCTCACACCTGCAATCCCAGCTACACAAGAGGCTAAGACCTGAGGATCCCAGTTCAGAGCCAGCCCGGGCAGGAGAGTCCGTGAGACTCTGATCTCCAATGAACTTCCAAACACAGCAGGAAATGGTCTGTAGCTCAAGTGCCAGCCTGAGGCACAAAAGCTCAGGGACAGTGCCCAAGCCCCGAGTTCAAGCCCCAGGACTGGTGCACGCGCGTGTGCACACACACACACAAAGCTCAGGGACAGTGCCCAAGCCCCGAGTTCAAGCCCCAGGACTGGTGCACGCGGTGTGCACACACACACACACAAAGCTCAGGGACAGTGCCAAGCCCCGAGTTCAAGCCCCAGGATTGGTGCACGCGCATGTGCGCGCGCACACACACACAAAGCTCAGGAACAGTGCCCAAACCCCGAGTTCAAGCCCCAGGACTGGTGCACACATGCACGCACACGCATACACACACACACACACACAAAGCTCAGGGACAGTGCCCAAGCCCCGAGTTCAAGCCCCAGGACTGGTGCACATGCATGTGCACACACATACACACACACACACACACACACACACACACAAAGCTCAGGGACAGTGCCA